TCTTGAATTGTCCCAGTAAAACATCCCTACACTATTCCGGGGTCTATTAGAGTTAGTGGGCATCATGGGTCTCGGTGAACTCGAACATTCCAGCTTTTCACGCATGTCAAGTGACTGCCCCCCCCCCCCACCCCTTAGGCTGGCTACACTCCCCCTGGCTCGGAGTTACCCTAGCTTTCTGGAAAACTGCATCATGATGCCCCCTAACTGGGAATAGACCCTATTCCAAAGTAAGACTGGCGTGAATATTCCTCAACTAACGCACTTATCTGTGGCTTTGCACTCGCCATCCTTGCATGAGCAGTCGCGCTTCGTCTGAATTGGCGAGTCGCGGCACTTCTTTCCTCCCCATGGTCCTGAATATGGATCGGCTGCCATCGCCTTCAAAACACCGAAACCGGACGGCATCGGCTGTTTCCAGGTTCCTGCAATTGTCAGTATAAGTAACACTGTTATTTGTCGCGCGGGCTTTTTTTTTTCAAATTGTGCGACACGTGGCGACAGTGGCGCGGACTAGTGTACACATGGCCTTGGGGTGTCCCCCAAGAGGCCCATCGCGCGGCGAAGGAAGAGACGCAGATGCGGCAAAGGACGAGTCGCAGCGCGTGCTGTGCGATATGAGACGTAGTATGGTACACTCTATTTAACCTGACGCCTAACCGCTACAGTATGCGCTGCGACTCGTCCTTTGCCGCGTCTGCGTCTCTTCCTTCGCCGCGCGATGGGCCTCTTGGGGGACACCCATGGCGAGGATCACATTTCGGATCGAGATCTCGTCCACGCCAACTAAACTTTTTCATCTCTCTGAAGCTGCTCAATTGGATCATGCTCACCTTGGAAGATAAAAATACAATCTCATAAGTCGGATAGCCCCACAGTTCCTTCCAAAAGGCTGTCAGATTCAGTGATCTCAAATGGAAGCGCATCTCAACAAGAACTAATCGGCGTTTGAAAGCCTTATTCTCCTGTCTTTCTATCGCTTGTCCCTAACTGGCCTTCTGACGTTGCGCTATAGAGAAAAAGTATGAATCTCTTCAAGCAGGAGTCTTTACAGTTACTCCTCCCATTGGTGTCGTACAACTAGTTCATGCAGTTCATGAGGAAAATCTCATAAAAATCCTTCCAAACCCGTCCGCGGTTTTCCTCTTGGAAATCACACCTCAGCGGCGTCTGAACCCGGGTCTATTATATGAGTTTTCTCAAACTCCTTCTGCCTTTCAATCCAGAACCGCTAAATTGGGAAGGATTTCTGGAAGAATGAAAGCTCTGGGTTTTACCCTCCAGATTTCAGCCCTGAGTTTGGGTCTTTGTCGGCTTCCATAGTAGCCTACAAACCCAACCGTTCGGATGTGCTGATCCTTAGCTAATGCCTTCATATTATGATGGACAAAAATCGATAAAGTGCCACCTCAATATGGCCACGTAGTTGATCGTTTAATGCAGTTGTGAAAACCTACCGATATTTGTCGCTCCAATGACGGCTTGTGTCATTCCGTGATATCCGTTACGCATAGAAAGCACATCAAATCGTCCTGTATGAACCCTGGCCAAGGTCAGCGCGAGATCGTTCGCTTCGGATCCCGAGTTGGTGAAGAAGCATACCTAGAATAGGAAAGATTAAAGGCAGCGATTACGATAAAGAGGGAGCGCATCGGGGAAGCATATGCACCACACGAATCAGTTACTTGGCTGCCAGGGAAGCGAGGTGTAGCGCTTTCACGACGAAAGGTGCTGGTTGCTGAGCAGGACTTCGAAAGCACTCCGCCCCCAAAAGCGATCCGCCCACTGGTTAGCGTACATCAGTTAGATGAGGAATTGCTTCCCGAAATTTCACATTCTTATAAAGAGTTTTACAGTGTTTTGGGTAAATCGTCATTCAATCCTTATGTTTCTTAAGATTTTGTGCCTATTTAGAAATTATATGTTTCTTTCATTGAAGCCCTAACAGTTATTATTAGAGCTATGCATTAAATGAGTGATAAAAAGCATTAACATCTGAGAGTTTTCAGCAGTAAAGATGAAATCAGAAGGCTTCTTGACGATATCGGTGACCTGGCTGGAAGAATCGATGAATCGGAAGCTATCGCTGAGGAGAAGGAGGAGACCATAAAGAGTGTGAGATGCTTGATTTTTTTCCTGCTTTTTTGTGGGTTTTTGAGAACTACACATGTATTATTTTGCTCGGCTCTCTTAGCACTTAGCACTTGGTTGTTTTCTCAATCACTGATGTCTTTTTTGGAACTATTTCGAAATCAGTTTCTGGCTTTAAATCCTTATCAGTGGTGAAGAATGGCGCAAACTATCAGTGCAAAACGCTTTAACAATTTGCGCTTGATAGCAATAATTTCGTTGTGCATGCGAGGAATGCGTCCTTCCTCATTGATCAAAGGGTGATTATAAAAAAACTTTCGCCCCAGGCGTAACTCGAACTCGCACTTCTCGCTTTCAGGGTTGTGAGAGGTGCAAGAGGTGCGGGTTCGAGTTACGGCTTCGAGTCCCGCTTAGGGTGAGAGTGTTTATAACCCAACATCCTTGTAAAACTTCGCACAGCGAACACTGCGGCCGAAAATGGCTCTTACAATCAAAAAAAATCAAAATAAAGAGCGACCTGCACGAGATGGCCTTACCCTTCTTGAAGGGTTTTCTTTGCACTATTCGCGATGACGCGGAAGACCAGCCGATGCACCGCTTAAAATGCTTTATTTCTCATAGACTGTACCAAATAGGTTTGAGGGGAGCGAGAAAGGGATTAAAGGCTTGATCATCTGTAATTGGGATCCTACCTGTAGCACGTAGCAAATCCGCCACTCCCACTACACCACCTTTGTGCGTAGGGTGCGAAGTGTCGAAAAGTGAGCAATGAAAATCCGTGAAGAGAATTCTTCCGGACAGCTTCCACTGCATTAGCCAGCAGATGATCGGGAACGACCTAATGACATATATTTACTCTCTGTAATGACTTGTTTTAGTTGATCGGATAACGACGAGACCGTTTCTTGGAGGCTGGCGCTGATTTCTTCTGCAGCCAATCGAGCTGCGGTTAGTTGGGATATCTGGAAAAGATGGTAGTTTTTCACGGTCAGGCCTGGTATTTCATTCGTGCACACTCTTCGAAATCAATGTAAATTCTATGTACTTACTTTGTTTTGGATTCATCAATAATCTATTGATTACTTGTTTGATAAGCTGATCAAATAATTAAGAAATAAAGACTATTTAGTTTTTTATGTATGCTGAAATTTTTGGAGTCTATACAAGCGCAGGTACGCATACATAAGATAATTAAATAAATAAGCAGATAAGCAAATCAGCGAATAACAAATAAGAAAAATAAATAAACAAATAAGCAATCGAATTAACAAACGAATAATAAGACTGTAGGCGATGTTGCTCTTTTTATCGTTATTCGAGTCAAATAATATTTGCAAAGCGATAAATGTTCAAATAGTCGAATTAGACTTTCCCTGATGGCCAATCAAAAAATCAGTAAATCTCACCGTTTCATGACTTTTCTTGAGCTCATCGTTGTTCTCATTGAGTTCTGATCGTAATTTTTCCATTGCTAATCGGTGCTCTTCATTTTTCTCCTTCGAGCTCATCGAAAGCCTAAATTTTGTCCATACGGCGCAAGTTTAGGAAGCATCAAATGAGCATAGATATGGTGAAGCAGGTCCTCATAATCATTTCTGACGAATGGTTGAGTCATCATTATCACCCGGAGCCCTTATTCTGAAGTTTCGAGACTCATCATTTTTCTGCTTAGTCGTAAAAGAACGTACCCACCTAACTTAAAACGCATGTAACGCCACATGTCTCAAAGTTCAGAATTTCCACTTCGTAATAGTTTACTTCTTGGGCTTGGAAACGGATCCCCCGATATTTTGTAGTCACATAGTCCCGGTTTCCAATTCAATATGGAGAATCAACAACACCAACGAACATTTCTAGGCTGTTGAGCAGACTGAGGCATTCATCGGCCTTTGTTCGAAAATCCGTGTCGAGAGTAGCTCGAGCCTCTTGTTCCATCTTCAGCGACAGCTGCAACTGAAAATGGTGTCTGATACAAATTATGCAATCGGGAATCAACAGGAACTTGAAAGGAAAGGAAAAAAAAGGAATTTGAAAGGAATAACTGAGGGAGAACCCCTGAACTGACATACACATTCGGCCATGAGAAGGAAAAAGAGTTTCTAGTGACGACATTCCGCAAAAAAAAACTGAAAACGTGCCCAACGCCAGCATTTGTGACAGATGTCCGACGGGAATTCGAACGCACTACAGTTCTTAGGATTTCCGAATTGTTAACAAAAACTAACAATTTTTCGCTTCTTTTCGCTCTTATAGTGGATGATGGATCTCATGCTAGTGATTTCTGAATAAGGTAGAATGACCATCTTCCGTGAACGATTCCTGCGATTTCCGACAACGGGAAAATTAGCTAGTGACTATAAGCTCAACTAGGTTTTGGTATCAAGAGGCTCTGCCGTTGTCTGTGCTTCCTGTTAAGCCATCAATAGCGTCTTATGACTGTAGTGAACTAACAGGAAGGTCTTTCAGGGCGTGCAAGCTTTTTGAAAACGGTCTTTTGCATGATATAGGGGCACATGCGGGAACCACAGAACCATGGTTCATTTTTCCTGAACGGCCCTCTGAATACCAGAAAAGGGGTCCCTAGTTCGATTCCTCGTGGTGACAAATTTTTGCATTTCGAGTTGACGTTTCAAAATTCGCGCAAAATGGAGTTAGCATGAATAATTAGTACCATATTCATGATTAGGACCGTCAGTAACCCTTACAAAAGACTTTGATTAAAAATTGGTGTAAAAGGTGTGACACCAAGCAGCCCCACTGTGGTGTCACACCTTTTTCACCAGTTTTTTAATCAAAGTCTATTTGTAAGGGTTACTGACGGTCCTAATCATGAATATGGTACTAATTATTCATGCTAACTCCATTTTGCGCGAATTTTGAACGTCAACTCGAAATGCAAAAATTTGTCACCACGAGGAATCGAACTAGGGACCCCTTTTCTGGTATATTCAGAGGGCCGTTCAGGAAAAATTAACATGGTTCTGTGGTTCCCGCATCTGCCCCTATATCATGCAAAAGACCGTTTTCAAAAAGCTTGTCACGCCCTGAAAGACCTTCCTGGTAAGTGAGCTGACCAGCATCAGTCGCCCACTGAGAAATTCTTCATTCTCAAACGGGGGGAATTATTTGGCATTTTTGAAAAAAGTAATACTGGGAAGATATGGCATAGTAGGTTCAATAAAGCATGGGAAGAAGAAATAATAGAACTTTCGAAATGCGGGGAATTTTCAGGGGCTTGCATTAACTTCGAAAATTCTCATTATTCAATGAAATTGTTTGTGGTCATGGCTATGAGCTACCCAACCTACCACTAAAACTACCAGAACTTGAAATCAGTCCATTGTAACAGGAATGGCCTAAGGGAGTTCAAAGAAAACCCTTTCAAGAAGGGTAAGGCCATCTCGTGCAGGTCGCTCTTTATTTTGATTTTTTTTGATTGTAAGAGCCATTTTCGGCCGCAGTGTTCGCTGTGCGAAGTTTTACAAGGATGTTGGGTTATAAACACTCTCACCCTAAGCGGGACTCGAAGCCGTAACTCGAACCCGCACCTCTTGCACCTCTCACAACCCTGAAAGCGAGAGTGCGAGTTCGAGTTACGCCTGGGGCGAAAGTTTTTTTTTATAATCACCGTTTGATCAATGAGGAAGGACGCATTCCTCGCATGCACAACGAAATTATTGCTATCAACGCAAATTGTTAAAGCGTTTTGCACTGATAGTTTGCGCCATTCTTCACCACTGATAAGGATTTAAAGCCAGAAACTGATTTCGAAATAGTTCCAAAAAGACATCAGTGATTGAGAAAACAACCAAGTGCTAAGTGCTAAGAGAGCCGAGCAAAATAATACATGTGTAGCTCAAAAACCTACAAAAAAAGCAGGAAAGAATCAAACAACTGAACAACACTCACACTCTTGATGGTCTCTTCCTTCTCCTCAGCGATAGCTTCCGATTCATCGATTCTTCCAGCCAGGTCACCGATATCGTCAAGAAGTCTTCTGATCTCATCTTTACTGCTGAAACTCTCAGATACCAAAGTTTATGTACATATTATTTCTCTCATACAATGCATAGCTCTAATAAATGAATTAAGAGGCCTTAAATGGAAGGAAAATACAATTTCCCGATAACGCAAAATCTTTTGAGGGAAAAGGATTGGTTGACGGTCTAGCCAGAAACGTTGCGGAACTCCGTATGAGAATGTAAAACTCTGAGAACGAACTTTTCATCTACCTCGCTAGAAGATTACGTTTACATTTTCTTTCTTGTTTGGATTTTTTACACTTTTCGTAACCTAGAAACCAGTAGCAATTTAAACAGAAACGTTTATAAAAAGTACAAAGACAGCAGTTGGAACCCGACCCCGAAAGCACACCCCCAGACAAATTGGGGTTATTCCGGCACGAAAGGAGAGTTGCAAGTTGGATCGGCCAGAAAAAGCGGAAAGCAGTTTGTGGAAACACCGACGGCTAGCTCGCTTCTAGAAGGCTGTGTTGAGGCAATGAGAAACTGAGCCCTCATGTTGCGAATGGGTAAAAATGAGAGGAGGAAAAGCGGTCTTGAGAAAGTCGGGCGCTCAGGAGCTACTACACTGCTGTAGACAGATGCTCCCTAAGCTATTTTAATCCGTGGAGACTGTTTGTCCACAGCACTGTTATAGTTGTACAAATATCTTTTCCTGTATGATTATATCTATTGCGCAATGAGTGCAATAATAAACAATTAATAAAATTTATTTATTTATTATTTATCTATTTACTCACTTTTCGTGTATAGAACAATATTTAGTCAAGAGGAATAATTTCCAATCACTATGAATACATTTTTAGCGAATTGATGTGTCTATCCAATGATGACGGCAAATGACCGAACTTTAGGAATCGGGGATGCCGACGAAGCAGCAAATGGCTATAAGCAATTCGCCAAGTATGGCTGTGGCTTCGAATACAATTCACAGCGTCAAGGGTTGCGTAAGCTTGGACTCCAATAACTAAACAACATACTTGTTAACTTCGTTTTGCAATCGTGTGATTTCCGTCATTCGACTTTCGCACTCTGAGCAACGGCTGCTGGTGGCGTTGCCCAAGGTGACTGCTGCCGATCTCATAATCTCCATCAAGTTCTCGACGCTTCACTGATCGACAACTGATATCGATCGTTTTATCACAACCCTTCAATAGAGTGATTTGGTGATTAAT